TGCTACATAAACCTACTAACCAAGTGGTATTTTTCTACTTGGTTAGTAGGTTTGTGTAGCATCATAAAATACCACTTGGTTAGTAGGTTTGTGTAGCATCATAAAATAGTACTTGGTTAGTAGGTCTGTGTAGCATCATAAAATACTACTTGGTTAGTAGGTTTATGTAGCATCATAAAATACCACTTGGTTAGTAGGTTTATGTAGCATCATCAAATACCACTTGGTTAGTAGGTTTATGTAGCATTTTCAAGCCTGTATTTTATGATGCTACATAAACCTACTAACCAAGTGGTATTTTATGATGCTACATTATAAGATACTTTAAACTACATGCTGCACATGAACAAGGCACACTTTTATAACTTTTATTATTTGAGACATCACCATTATGTTACCTTTGAAGTATAATAGATTCTCAATACTGGGTTTTCTGCAGCATCAACGTACGACTTGTGACTTGTCTTACCCTGCATCAAACTCCTGGAGGGAAAAATTGAATGTAAAAAAATAAAAAATGAATTGACAACATAATAATATACTAGTACTGGATCACTTCTCAAGTTACAAACAAGAAAGGAACACGATTCTTTGTTCTCCATAAAGTCACAATTAAAAACAAGTTGAAACATTGGTTTGACTGTTATAGTTGATGGATACATTAAGGTTAAGTTTCTAAGTAGTCATCCAACTTCTCTCAAATTGTCCACTTTTACAGTAAAAATTCTGTTAAGTATACATATATTAAGATGAAGTTTTCCGGGTGTATTCACCTCGTGTCACCGATGACCAGATCATAAAGGAAAATGAAGGAACATACACCTCGGCTAAAGCAGTCTGGTGATGTCAGGCCCGGAATCCACTTCAAATACTGTTAAAACTTTAAATTTTTGAACCTTTACGTAAATCTTTATTTTCTCAATGAACTTTTCTACCTCGTTCTGTAAGTCAAACTCTCGATACAAGTTGAGAAATATCAGTTAAATATAAGGTTTTTTTCTAAACCGATTGAATGAGGTTCTATGAAATCTTGTAGATGCACTTCCCAAAGATTAAAGTTTGTAAACTATTTCATATTTAATACCTTAACACCAAGAATGAGAGGTCAATTGAGTAAGGTCAGTAGCAAAATACGTGGGTCCGTCACCATATGAAAGTTATGTTTAATACACATCCGATGAACGAATCACGTGCTAAGACTCTTAAACTGTGGGAGTGGTCAAAGTCCCCATTTATAGCACCACTATTTAAACCCAGGATTGCTGGATGCCTTTATATAAAGAGAAAAACATGTATTCAGTTAACTATTTAGAATTGCTACTTTCTTTAGTTAATGTGGTTAAAAACGTATATATATATATATATCATATTAACCTCCAAATAAAACTACATACGTTTGAATATGGATCCAGTGGCTTGCAATATCAATGACCATACTCAACTGGAAGAGAAACATATAGCTGGGGTAGAAATAGGCTAGAGTCACCAATAAGCACATGGTAGCACACCTGTCCGTCAGCTGATCCAGCATGCTTCCAAACTTGGTGCCTGAGTAGAATTTTGTTAAATAACTTCACATTCTTCCTCAACTCAAGCTTCTACTTCCATTTATGATCAAAATTGTAGTTATATTATCACAGCTTCTATCATCAAAATCATATATAGTTATATTATCACAGCTTCTATCATCAAAATCATATATAGTTATATTATCACAGCTTCTATCATCAAAATCATATATAGTTATATTATCACAGCTTCTATCATCAA